AAGCTGAACTTTTTCTTTCTATGTGCCGTGTCCTTTCAGGACGTAGAAGATCATGGCTCTCCACTTCTCTCTATCCCAGGCAGCAATCAACAAGTTCCTTCCCTCTGCCACCTCCCCTAGACCACGTTCTGTCATCCACCTGCTTAAGGCCGGTAGGTATGTCATGCGTTGTTTTCGCTTGTCTCTTTTTCCCCTCTTAACGACCCGTGAGTATCAGATTCTCCAGGGTCTCTTTCCTCATTATGTGTCCCAGGAACTTCAGCTGCCTCTTCCTGATGTTAAGTATAAGCCTCCTGCTTGTTTGCATCCTCTGTAAGACCTCATCGTTGCCCACACGCTCCGTCCATCATATCCTTAGCATCCTTCTGTAGAACAACATCTCCGTCGCCTAGATTCTCTTCTTCATCTTTGAGGAAATCGTCCAACATTTGCCGCCGTAAAGAAGAAAAGATCTCACCAACTTCCCACACTATCGCTCCCTTTGTCCTTGTGTCTGTGTTATTTTTATATTTCACTTATAATCTCTCTCTCTCTCAATTTTCTGTTTGTTTCTCTCTTTCATCATCATCATCATCATCATCATCACCATCAGCGCTTTATCTTTTTATGTGATGTCTCTCCTCAAGACTAGGGCGGTCATGACTCTCCACAGCTTTCTATCATTCGGACAATTTAGTAAGGTTAATTTCCTTGATATTATTCCTGCTTACATCTACATACAATTGAAACACGATACCGTACGAAGTTAAGCAACGTCGCGCCTGGTCAGTAACCCGATGGTGGACTGCTTGTAAATACCAGGTGCTGCAAGCATGAATATGCCGGTGGTGTAATGGATAAAGGAATTGTCAAACGGAGTGCAGAGTTCCAATTCCAGTTGGGTTTTTATATCCACTTACACGCAAATACCCTTTTTATATACTCGTTAACTCCCAGTAACAACTTGCAGCTTAGTGGCATAAACGTCTTGCTTGGTGAAGGTGTGTGAAAAGTTTGATAAAACACAAAACACACACACACATATATATATATATATATATATATATATATATATATATATATAAAAATAAAACCCAACCTGTCATATATATATATATATATATATATATATATATATATATATATGGAGATAAGACAAAAGTGAAAAATCTATAAACGATGCCTTTCACCGAGAGAGTCGGCACACCTGGCGATCATAAATCAAATAAAATGTCTTTGTCACATACAATTTGCAGATTCAAGAGATTGTGTCTACTTGATTGCATATATATATATATATATATATATATATATGACAGTGCCGTTAAATGTCTGTTGGATATGAATCAGTCCCCCGAATCTAGAGAGTGATTTATAATGTATATACTTGTATATACGCGTACATAGATAGACACCCTATCAGGCGTATAGATATCTTAGAACACGTTTTTATGTATAGTTGTGCATATATGTGCATATATAAGAGCCCACTTATATATAAAATATTAACGCGAAATAATTCTCGTCTGTACTTTTAAAAAACATAAACACCTCAGTTATATAGAGATAGATAAGGGAATATAATTTGATACATAGTCACCACTAATCCTCAGGGATCCCAACACATACGGTTTTAATTTAAATTTTATTTTAACCTTAAGACGCCAGAGTGAGTCGTGTGAGCACACATTCTCGGGGGAACGCGTCGTTTATATATTTTTCACTTTTTCTCAGCATTTTCAATTTCGTTTCGGATACTATTTTACATCCTGCAAACACACACATACACAAACTTATATTTTTATCACTTTAAATGTTATTTTTAGTAGATAATTATATTGGAGTAGACGCTCCATTTATTTCTCAAACGTTATATTTATGTCAAGAGTTTACTCAAATTTTAGTATCAACAAAAAATAAAAATAACTTTTAAAGTGATAAAAATCTCTCGGATTGTTAAATAAAATCCATTTCTTACAAGATAATACATATATATATATATATATATATATATATATATATATATATATATATATATATATATATATATATATTTAGGTATATATATATATATATACATATGTATGTATATATTTATGTATTTATGTATATATATATATATATATATATAAACATAAAACATTAGGCAGCATATAATTTACATACAAAGAAATAATCACACATAGAATCAATCAGAAGTATTAATGCGATTATTGGCGGCATCCATCGCTAGAAGCATAATATATGCATTAAAATACTGTTAATCCATAGTGCGAGTTGATCCTCGTCGATAAACTTGATGTCTGTAGTTTTCAGTTTATTTGATGTTAAAATGCTAGTACTTACGAATAGTCCTCTATTCATCATCAGGCATGTGTTTTTTTTCCTTATAAAATCAAAATCTTGAAGACGAAATACTTGTATGTCCACCGAAAGATGTTTTTTGAATATCTGCTATTATTGACGGTTGTGTGTAAGATCTCGGAACGTGCAAAGACGCAACGCTAAGTTTTTCAAAATT